GTACTGTCTAGACACTAGACTTTTTATTTCATCTTGTCCCGAATAAGCCTCGAACCCACCACCCCAGGAGTACCAGTCAGTCTCCTTATCCCAGTAGCCATGTGGACACACAAGAAAATCATGTTTTTTTTTCTTCTATATAGATAACTGTCCTTTGTGGACGTTAGACTTTAAAATTCTTCTTGAACTGGGCAAGGTAAGACTCGAACCTATGACCTCAGGAGTACCAGTCACTGGTCTTACCCTCTGAGCCACGTGGACACACAGGAGGATTCTGTTTATTTCCTCTTTCACTGTCCTTTGTTGACACTAGACTTTGAAATTCAACTTGACAAGGGTAAGGTAAGGCAAGGCTCGAACCCATGACCTTAAGAGTCTCAGTCAGTGTTCTTATCCACTGAGCCACATGGACACACCGGAGGATTCTGTTTATTTTCTCTTTCACTGTCCTTTGTTGACACTAGACTTTAAAATTCAACTTCACCAGGGTAAGGTAAGGCAAGGCTCGAACCCACAACCTTAAGAGTCCCAGTCACTGTTCTTATCCCCTGAGCCATGTGGACACGGAGAAGGAGTCTGTTTATTTCAGAACAGAGGCATTACTGTGTCCACAGGGGGCGCCAGAAACAACGCAAACAAAAGTTCCTTACAGTAGCCTTTAATTTAGCTGTCCTTGGAGCTAAAACTGACCGTATTCATATTCACAGCCTAAAGTTGTATTTCCTTTAACCTTAAATTGACATGTAGTTTTTAGTTAAGTGTTAACTTTTGGCCCGATTCTTGTGTTCATTTTTTTTTCTCCATTTAGGAGTGAAAACATTTGGTCCTCTTCTTCTTCTTCGCCTGTTTTTACTCCGTGACTTTTTAAGCATGCAGTCGTCGCGCAGCACCAGTCCCAACATATCAGAATATGATCAATGCTGACAGGTTAGCCTTTGCTCGGGTTGAAGTCGAGTATATTCATTTTTCTTCCTCACTGACCAAACGGGCTTATGAACTCTTTCAACTGTATGACAGAGAGTACACACACACACACACACACACACACACAAAAATTCATCTGGCTTACTGGAAGGAGACAAACTGAGGAGAGAGAGAGAGAGAGAGAGAAGAGCTTTTGTAGACGAGGATGGTAATGAGAGAAGGAAGAACTTGAACTTGATCTCTAACTTAATCTACAAGCTTGGACTCATCATCCTAATATTCAGGCAGGTTGGCGGACGTGTGCTGCCTCAGCGCGGCACACTTCTCCCAGCTGGCTGGGGTCAAAGGTTGCAGTGCTAATTGGCAGATGAGTTATACTGACACTATCAGGGTTGAGCAAAGTCTTCTGTTTTACATGAAACCGAGTTTTTGCGACGGGTGGGAGGACAAAATCTACCCGAGAGACAAAAAGAGTCTTTGAGGAGTTGTTTACAGGAGGGTTACACTAAAGAACACAGATTTACTCTTATTTGTGTGATTGCTGCAGAAATAACTGTTTTTATTTTTTATAATAACCCTTCTCATTAAGGCCGCTGTCCTTCTGTGGTAAGAACTCCGTAAATAAAAGGGTGATCATACGTCTACTTTTACCCTGACATGTCCTATTTTTGGGGGGGTTGTCCGGCTTTGTCCGAGGAAGTTTATAAAATTCCTCAAATGTCCGTGGTTTTGTATGGAAGTTTCGATGTAAGTTAGAATAATTTTTTTTTGTTTTTGTTGTTGTTTACAATAGATTTTCAGCTCAATATGTAGAACAGATATTCACTAAAATCTAAACTGCAACTTTTGAACAGTTGCAAGGACAGCCGGAAAGTTCTGGAATTTATTTGCATATTGTTCAGAAAGCAAAGTTATGAATGTTTACCTCTATGATTGTTACTTCTTCAGAAGTTGTTTCACGCCAAGGACATTAGTTTGTAAATAAAAAACACACAAACACACTGTGACTTTGTGTCACTTTATTTTAATAAAATCCCGTTCCAGTTGACTTTTAAAGAGACAGTGTTTAAAGAGGAGAGTGAAAAAGAAAATAATCAGAATATTGTGTGTCCATGTGGCTCTGTGGATAAGAACACTGACTCGGACTCTTAAGGTCGTGGGTTCGAGCCTTGCCTTACCCTGGTGAAGGTGAATTTTAAAGTCTAGTGTCCAGACAGGAAAGAGAAAGATGAAGCAAATGGTATTATCCTGTGTGTCCACGTGGCTCACAGGATAAGAACATTGACTGGTACTCCTGAGGTCAGAGGTTCGAGCCGTACGGTGGATGGCTGGGTCTGTGGAGGACTGTCCTCTACAGTGTTGAAAAAGGTTGAAAAACATTGGATTAAAGAAAATGGCTGGGTTACAAGATGATGTTGACAATGCTTACCTACCCCTGTTCACCGGCTGTACTGGGCCCCGGAGCCCAGACAGAAACCCAAAGTGACCCCTGGATGGGCTGACTGTACATGGACAAATCCATATCATACTGACAGACTTGACTTGTGGTGAATGTTTTGGGCGACGACTGAACTGGTTTGGCTTTCAGTGGTAACGCTCTCAGGTAGGCCATAGCACTAAGGCTCTTGCCTAAGGACCCACACAGGTAGATGTACTTTGCTCCTTACAGATGTGTCTCATGCGGGATTGGAACCCCAACCCCCTGAGTGCTCTACCCACTGAGCTACCCTAGCCACACTTAAACGGTATTAGGCCTAGAGACCATGTAGAGTCAATCAAACCCAACGTTCTGACCCAATTATTTGGTTACTCTCAGAAAAATAACCCATAATTATTAACCTTGAATGGATCTGAAAAATAACCCAGAAATTAAACTCAACATGTATAACCCAGGAATTGGTTTGAAGAAATAACCAAAGAGGTTTTAGAGTGTTCTTAAACATGTAAAGGACGAGACAAGCAAAGACTGCATCATCCACTGGGGGGCGCCGAACTGGTCACAGAGAAAAAGTTCTTCACAGGAGCTTTAACAATGGTTGACTTTTTACCTGAAATGATTTATATCTTATTTCTGCCTAGCCTGTTTTATTCATGACTAATCCGTTGGAGGTCTTTTCAGATTTGATGTCGGATAATTTCATCCTGTTAATCGGTTACGCCGTGATTGAGAATTCTCGCAGGCGTTTTAGTAACTTTTATTCCTTTATATCTCGCTGTGATGCTTGTTTTCCATCCAGTTTTAGTCTGTTTTGTCCAAATTGTTAATCATAAACTGTCCAGATTCATAGCCAGCAGTTTCACAGGAGATCCAGGTGTGATAATGTTGGTATCAGCTCAGTTTGGAGCGGAGAAGTGGGTAAATTTGCTTCTTCCCATGTTAATTCATTCCTCATTTTCTCTCAATAAATGCTCCACTATGTCTCCGATCTTATTATTGTTGCCTTTTCACCATTTGAAAGTTCTTTCTGAACTTTTAGCTTGAGGTTGAGTCATGGTCGTGAGTCAAGAGAGCTGTGCGACATGTTTGTAAAAGACAGGAAACAAACTCTGATCTGTGTTTGTTCTGCAGAGCAAAGCTAATCTCATTGTTTAACAGATCTCCAAAGTGCATCCTTGAGTCGTCTCAATCCGCCTAAATAATCCCGAGGAAGTGAAATTCCTCATCCAGTCGAATCTTATCCGATCCTGAATGTCAGCTGTTTGATGAACGGTGTTTGTCGTGGACTTTTCAGCTTTTTATCTGCTGTGAGAAGATCTCCCAGGTGTGTTTGGGAACTCTGGGCTAACGTCACTTTCCTTACGCACACACACTGTCTTATCTTCTCTGTGAGCTGACGACAAACTCTGAAATCCCGACCACACAGGAACCGAAACAAACACGATCACAAACACAAACACACGACCATTTACCGCTCCTTTCAGACACTCACCTCTGACCTCCAGTTTTGACCTCAGGCTTATGCATTGTGGAGCTAAAGCTGATTTAACATCCAGACTGAACCTGGACCACTTAAGGAACTCTAAATTCACCCGATCACAGACTCTGAGTCACCGGAAACTTCCGCCAGACAAATAAAAATCCCTTTAATAGATTTTTAAAAACTTTGATCATGAGTCGATGAAGGAAAACTCTCTAAAGTGTGTCTCCTGACTTTGTTGCATGAAGTTGGTTCTACTTTGAGAAACTGGTTCCAGATCAGGTTTTGGTTCTGCAGAAGTTCTAAAGCCAGCTTGGTGGTGGAAAGGAGGTATAACTCTGAGAAGAGTGCACATTAAAGGTAAATTTAAACACATTTAAAAAACTCCTGAAATAAACAAGAATTAAACCTTGGTGTAACAGGACTAAATGTACATTATCATTATGTTTTTTTTATATAATTATCAAAATTAACCCCGTGTATTTTTATGTTTGACTATGGAACCTTTTCATGAACTTAATTTCTTCCTCTTTCTGTTGGTTTCTTTTCCCTTATATTTGAGTTACCCTCCTCCTCCTCCCTTACTAAGAGGTTGGTGTCTGAGGGCTAATTATTGATTTTTCCATGATTTATTTTATGTGTACTTTTATTTGTCAAAGAGTTTTTAGTTTCTCTTCACTCATGTAACATCCTGAGTGTTACTTTTGTTGTGTTTTGTCCGCTTAGCATCAACTTAAGTTTGTTTAGTTTAAGGGCCAGTCCATTATGGACTACAGCGGGTTGACGCGGCTCAAGAAAGAACGATTACAATAATTTCCTTATCATTTCCTTGAAGTAATAATCACCATTTTAATCATTTTCACTGCAGACGCTGTAGTTCTTCTGTCTTAGCGCCTCGGTCTGATTGCATTTCCATGAAGAAATGATCATAAATGTTCTTCCTTGAGCTGCGGCACCCTACTGTAGTCTGTAATGGACTGGCCTGAGGTCTCGCTACAAACAAGCAGCTGCTGGAAGAGAGTAGGTGAGTTGTGTTTAGTCTCTTTGTTAAAGAAATGAGTCAAATTTAAAAAGATGTTTGGTGTCTAGTACTATGTCTGTGACCCTATATGTCCTGTTGATGAAGTTAGGTGCTGTTCTGAGCATTATTTGTGGCTATAGAGTGGCGTTTAGGTTGAGCGCGTGGCTCTCTGTATTGCTATCCTGCGGTCGTTACTAAAGTTGGTATAACTAGAGAAGCAAACAGTCGGCAACATTCATCTCTCGACGGGGGTGTCTTACTCAGTGTTATGATGTGTTTGATCCTAAATTACTTTTACACCGGAACATCCCTTTAAGGTTTCCTTTCATTCTGCTGCACAGAATTAACACGGATAAAAATCCTGCATTTTGTAACCACCCAGCTGCCCTAAAAAAAAGAAACTCCTGATGTTATTGGCGCTCTCTTTAACCGTGTCGCTCTGTTGTTCGTATATGTATGTGTTGCCCTTCCTTCTGCCCTTCCTCTCATGATTAATGTTTCCTCCGAGCTGATTTGACACGTGTGGATGACCTTGCTTTCACCTCTGAAGTTCGGTGTTGGCTATGCGCTTTTTTTCCCTTTTTTATTCACATTATTACAATTGTAGATGAATCTCAGCTCAGCCGGACCGTGTAACACATGGGGAATCGTGTAAGTGAGGCATGGCCTGGGTGAACTCACTCCACAAGTATTTACTCCCTTAACATCAAAAGAGCCTAACCCATAAAATGCAACACGGTTCACAATTGCGTCATAAACCTCTCGATTCTGTAAACATGCGGTGTTAGGACGCCCCGCCTAAAGCACTCTGCGGATTGTTAATATATTTCGTGAGATTAATGTGGCGTTAATGCGCCGTGGAAAGCAGAAAACATGTTTACACTGTAATCAAAAGCATGGAAATTAACCGACAGGTAAAAGAAGCAGGTAGAAAGTACAACCCCCCCTTTTCCTCCTCCTCCTCCTCCATTCACTGCATTCCTGAGCACAAGAGTGTGAGATTAAAATACACACACACATTCACTGTAAGGACACACACATGTACATGCACACCTATATACACATGCAGACATGGGCACTGATCCAAAACCACGGTCCGAAGGGCAAAAATGGGGACGGTGTGATCTGGAGAGTGACACACTTCCTCGAATCCACCTTTACACACACTCAAACTCTGAGCATGTTAAATAATTCGAGAGAGAGAGAGAGCGAGAGAGTGAGAGAGCGAGAGGCTCAGCCCTGAGACTGCGGAGAAACCCTGCAATTATCAATGAACGTGTCATCATGCAATTTGTCTGCCAGTCACATGCTAACGGCCAAATACGTGTTTGTTCAGAGAGCGACACGAGACACGAGTTTATATAAATATGTCCGCCCCAGAGAAAAAAAAAAAAAAACACGGACGAGCTTTATTATTAAAAAGTCGACTTAAAGTAGAGCAGGATGTTCAGTCCTTCCTGCAGCTTTGATACAGATTATTTTATGTAACATATGAAAGTCCGATTCGCCCGGAGCCGTTATGATAAACGGAAACGAGGATCAGGATCCCAAACCGGAGAGAATAATTGACTTGTGTTATAGTGTGTCAACTGTGTAAGTGTCTAGACACGTGTCAGTGGGAATCTTCCATGAGTCCAAACACTGCCAAAGCATTCCTTGTTGCTACATGCACTTTTCAATCAGCCAATAGGAAAGCAGCTTTTTTTCCCCCCTCACAGTCTGCTTCATGCAAACCGAAATGCCCCATCATTAAATTTCAACTCAATATTTAAAGTTACACCAAAAAAGGGTTTGTCGAGGTCACTCTATCTGAACCCGAGTCAGACTTTTCCATGAGCGTGTCTGACCCTGTCACAGCGGCGGAGGAACAAAGAGGCCAACCCCAAAGAAGGGTGGGTCAGGGATGAGAAGACAATGAAGCAGAGATCCACTTCACAGTAACAGCAGCTGAAGTTATGTAAAAACCTGGAGACGAAAACGTAACAAATACAGGAAAATACATCAAAACTATTTCCCTGAAGAAAAGTTAGAAATAATGTGAAAAGTAATCTGATTAAAAACTTATTTCATTTACTAAAATCTGCTGATTTCCCCCGAGACGAGTGAGTAATAAAGACAACGCACAGACGGTTTGTTGGACGGGGTCAGAGAGTTATGAAATCAGGTCGTAAGTTTGCAGCAACATCTGAATCAAAAATGAGAAAATGGGACGAGGCATCCTGGTCAGAGGAAACAAAAGTAACCTAGAGAGAGTTAGGGTTAGAGTTAGGGTTAGGGGTTAGGGGTTAGGGTTAGAGTTAGGGAGGCATAGCGACTGATGTAACAGCCTGAGGTAAAGGGTTAGAGTTAGGGGTTAGGGTTTAGAGTTAGGGGTTAGAGTTAGAATTTAGGGTTAGGGAGTTAGGGTTAGGGGTTAGGGTTGGGTTAGAGGTTAGGGTTTGGGGTTAGGGGTTAAGGTTGGGTTAGGGGTTAGGGTTTAGGGTTAGGGGTTAGGGTTGGGTTAGGGGTTCGAGTTGGGTTAGGGGTTAGAAATAGGGTTTGGGGTTAGGGGTTAGGGTTAGGGTTGGGTTAGGGGTTAGGGTTAGGGTTGGGTTAGGGGTTAGAGTTAGGGTTTAGGGTTAGGGACTAGGGTTGGGTTTGGGGTTAGGGTTTGGGGTTAGGGGGCTAGGATTGGGTAAGGGGTTAGAGTTGGGTTAGGGTTTAGGGTTTCGGGTTGGGTTAGGGGTTAGAGTTAGGGTTTAGGGTTAGGGACTAGGGTTGGGTTAGGGTTTAGAGTTGGGTTAGGGTTAGGGTTAGAGCAAGTGTTAGGTATAGGGTTAGAGTTACAGTTAGAGTTAGGGGTTAGAGTTAGAGTTAGGGTTACGGAGGCATGGCGACTGATGTAACAGCCTGAAGTATAGGGTTAGGGGTTAGGGTTAGGTGTTAGGGTTAGGGTTAGGGGATAGGGTCAAGTTTAGGGTTAAAGTGAGGGTCAGGGTTAGGGTTAGGGAGACATGGCGACTGATGCAGTGAAATATAAAATATAAAGTGAAGTTACGTCAGTGTCTTAATTTACTTGAGTTCAGCATGGACGACCTTGAGACGTCTTTTTAGACTCACCTGCATCTGAGCAGGGACACGCACAGCCGAGGAAACAGAAAACAACAACATGGACTAAACAATTTCATCTCGTTTTAGTTAAAGGAAAATAAGAGAAATTTCAGCAGTTTTTATTTAGTGATCCACATCTAGTCTTGTATTTTTCCATCAACAATATTGCATTACATATTTAGTTATATTATCATCACAAGACCATCATTTATGTTTCCTGTATTTATGTTTTCATCACATGATAACAGTTCGTTGACGCTGATATTTAGCACTAGTTAGGGTAAGGGGGGCATGGCAACTGATGGAATAGCCTGAGGTAAAAGCAGGACGGTTGGACTCGCAGAGAGCAGAGATGGAGACCGGTGCCAGAAAAGCTGAACAGGTGGTCGGCTCTGAGAGGGCTGACCGGGAGGCTGGCATCTGTGACATTGGCAGGAGGAGGGAGGGGATCAGCGAAGCAAGAAAAACCTGCAGCTTTAGGGGGAACAGGTGTCTGGATGGGATCTGGACTCGGTCTCTTTACATAATGTTAGAAAAATGACAAAAACTGGACCCAGAATTGTCGACTGTAGTCCTGCATGTGTCTCAGATTGTAAACTAGACTTTGATCTGGAGGAAACACAGACATGATCTTAGATTAACCAGCTCACTTACAGACGAGGGAACAGAGCTCCATTATTCCAGAGTCAGAGGCATGGACAGAGGTGTTTCTGCAGAATCCAGACTCTGGACCAAAGTTGTTTTCTGCTTCTTAGCATGGTCATGACATGGGGGACAGAGGTGAGCCAGGCTGCCGATCAGAGTCCAGGGTGGGCCTCGTCTTCGGCCTGGACAGGGAACAGAGCGTCATTGGCAGGAAAAGCCGATGTGAGGTTCAGGGAGTGCAGCAGGAGCATCGTCGAGGACAGTGGACCGAGACAAGCGTCGTCCGGGCTGCCAAGAGAAAACCAAGATCAGTAGGCGGCTGGTCTGCTGACGGGGGTTCAAGATTGGATGTTGGCTGGACCAGAGACAGGAAATAAGGAGTGAGAGTCTGCTGTGTCTGCAGAGAGGAATCACAGAGAGAGACGTCTGTAGGGGGACCAGGAGGAGGTATCGGCTGCAGATCCTCCGTGGTGCTGAGCAACAGGGATGCAAGCATGCATGACGGAAAGAGAGGGAACCAGCAACCCTGGATGCTCACAGGGTTCGAGTGTGCTACCTTTGCGTTGCATCACGGATTAGACAGGATTAGACTTGTGGACACCAATTCCTCCCTGATTGTTCATCGTTATGAAACTTTGACACACATTTTTGGATATATATAACGACCGACTTGTGAGGCGGTCGGGGGAAAAAAAAAAAGGGGGACGATCTCGAAGCTGACATGTTTTGCACTTCTCGGGGTCAGGGGTCAGGATCACCTACAGGAGAAGGTGCTGCCGGAGCTGGAAGGGATCGCTTCAGGCCACTTTGATGGAGCGAATGCCCGCTGAGAGAGGAAACTAAAGAAACTCGATCACCAGAACGCCTCTTCTGATGCCTCCAGGACGGAACACACGGGGTGAAATATCGTCTTGTTTTCGGCCTCAGAAGAAGAAAGGAAAGGTCAAGGTTTGGAAACGTTTGAAATAAGCGAAAAAGAACGGATGTGGTTCGTCTCGACGATTGTGACATTCGCGGTTATTTCATGTGTGTCAGTAACTTGGCGTGGAGAAGTCCTGCGGGGAAAAGCGGTGTGTGCGTGTAAACAAAAGCGTGGGTGTATTTGTGGACGTATTCGAGAGCCAAGAAGAAAGACAATGTGTGCTTTCTATCGGGCTTCAAAACATCCTCAGAGTGAGCGAGGAGAAGTAAAGGCGCGCGGATTTGCAGAGCATGAGGGGGCGAGCGGAGGAGCGTCTCAGCGTGTGGGTGTGGATCCTCTTTCAGGTGGCTAAACGGCCTTGTTCTGTCTTTGTTAGCGCTGCTTCTAGCGGTAGTGAAACCCAACACTCGCCGTTCCCTAAAGCCGGCTTGATTTCTTTACGAGGTGCAGAGTCACACTAGGTGGGCCCGCGCTCTGGGGAGTCTGCAAAACCTGACACTGAACACGCCAAACGAGCCCGCGCCACTTAAAATTTACTCAAAGAAATTAAGGCGCCGTGTTTTTCCAGAGCAGGACGCCCGCGTTTTTTTATACGGCGAGCGTAAATCAAAGAGAGAGAGAGAGAGAGAGGGGGAAGAGACGTGAAGAAGAGAGGGGACCGTGTTGACCCCTCGTTCGTGAGGGAGGGTTATTTATGAGAGCGGGGTGAGGGATCAAGTCGAGGTTATGAGGAGGCTGATTTCTGGCGCTGACAAGAAACTCTGACATTTGGCGTAAAGCTGGGGTTGCTAATGATGCAGCGCTGTGGCGTTTTCAGAAAGCTGCGGTTTCCTCCGGGCTGGTGTCGGGCCGCTCTGACGATGTGTTTCCCTGATTGATGGCGTGGGATGTGGGTTTTTTGTTGTTGCAGCAGTAGCAACACATTAATTTGACGTCTCCTCCAATGAAGCTTTAAATTTCCCTGATTTAGGATCTCCTTTTTTACACGACCCGTTTCCCTCCTTTTACTTCCTCTCAGACGCTCTGATTTACGTCCGCTCTGACACCTCTGGCCTTTCGCTCTCGATCACCGCTTGTAATATCGCCGCCGTCTATCAACCCTCGTCTCTCGATATCCTTAAATTGTCTGCAGTTTGTTCATCCGCCTGCCAGACATTAAACCACATATGAACTCGTGTTCTCCCTCACCCCTCGTCCTCGCGCTCCCCAAGGCTAGCAGCTGTAAATCTGAACAAGCTGCTAACTGTCTTATCTGGTGTGTATATTGGCCGTCTCTGGTTTGCCCAGGCGAAGCTTTAATGAGGACACAGACACCCTTTCTTGCTCTGTGTGGTCTACTTTCAGACTTAACGATATCACAGTGCACTCTATAAACCTCAGGAGGCCGGATCATCACTTTGCTCGCCTCGGCGCCCCGGAGACTGTTTGGAGCGGATCCCGCTGACACGGTGATGCCACTGTTTGAGCTGCGTCAGATATGAGGAGGGGGTTAAACGTGAAACTGCAGGTCTGAGGGTTGGAGACCGGAGAGTCTTCTTAGGAAGAGGAATCCAGATCCCAGAGAACCAGGAGACTGAAGGTCTTTGCACACTGAGTCTGTTTTTTAGCTCTTAAAGTAGGGTGACCATATGTCCTCTTTTACCCGGACATGTCCTCTTTTTTGGGGGCTGTCCGGCTTTGTCTTCAAATGTCCAGGGTTTGTATGAAAACTGTGGACTACCTGAGTTAGAAGTGCGTAAAAAACACTTGATCCAACCCAAAAAACTCTCAAAATTAACTACGCTCGACTCCGTGACTCCACCCCCGCGTAGTCGTGAAAATAGTAGCACAAAAAAGAAGCAACAAAAGAAACGTGAAGCTAATTTCATGATTTCGTAGGTGGCGATGTTCCCGTTTCAGCTCGTCGACGTGTTACATTTCAAAACAGGTAGCTTTACATGTGAGCAGGAGGCTAACACGATGTCGTTTTTACACGAAAGTTTCATCTTCTGCTCTCAAGTTTTTCCGTTTATTTCCTGCCTTCTTAGCTGGTCGTCCGTGCAGCTCTACTTCCGTCTCAGAGCAGCTGAGTTTTATTTCTCGTGTATTCTCCCTCGTGTTTCTGTTTCATGTTGTTTTTTTTGTTTTTCACCATTTGGTTTCATCAGTTCAGTTTTCAGTGTTTCCTGTTTTATTTTGTAGGAGTCAATCCTTCGTTTGACTTCCTTAGTTTCCTTCTTTTGTTGATTACTCACGAGTCTCACCTGCGTTTTGTCTGTCCCTGTCTTCCAGGTTCATTGTTGTTGCTGTCCACGTCTTCTCTAGTGTTTTTGTTGAACTTTTTGAAGAATTTTTTGTTTTTTCTTTGCTTTTTTGTTCATTAAACTTCTCCAGTCTGCGTTTTGGTTCCTTTTTCTCTGGCTTGTGACAGAAGTATCAACGGTTTCTCTTGTTTCAGTCTGATTGGGCTGTTTACATGACAGAGAAAATAGATTCACAACTGCATTATCCAGGTATGTTAGTCTGACTATGAAAAGTTCATTTTAGAAGTCCAGGTTCAGTTGCAATAAATCCATTTTTAAGTGAATGTAAACTCACTGTATGACTTTGGAAAATTCTGCAACAATCAACTTATTTGACACTTTTTCAACGCTAAATAAAAATCTCAGTAAATCCTTAAAACAACACTGTGACACATTAAAGATGTTAAAGATATCGAGCTAATGATGCGCTCGACTTGATCGTCCTCTTGGGGAAACTTGGACTCAAATGCAGAACATGCACAAAAGTACAATCAGTTAAAAACAAGCAGAAAGCCACGTTATTTTTTTATCCAAACTTTAGTCTGAAGCTCAAAAATGTCTTTTTTTCAATGATTATGAATAAATATCTTTTATTTTTATGTACACATGCTAACACTCTACGAAAGAGGATTAGGGCCACAAGAAGAGAAAAAAAACTACAGGAAGGAGATTATTTAATTTCAATTTTGAGATAAAGGTCGAAACTTCGAGAATAAAGTCGAAATTTTAAAAAGTTGAAATTTAAACTTTATTCATGTCGACTTTAATCTCGAAGTTTCGACTTTAATCTCCTTCCTGTAATTATTTTTTTCTCTTCATTCGGCCCTAATCCTCTTCCGTGACACCCTACATGTCACATGACTGTTTATTTAAAAACTGTTATTCCCTAAAATGTACGAACACCCTGAGATCCTTTCCTAATAAAAGATTTACTTCCCCTTCAACTGAGCGATGGATTATATCACTAAGACGAACCATCAAGTCAAAATAAAGATAAATTTTTACCAAACAGATAATGGGAGGAGTTTTAATGACCTTTGGAGAAAACAGCCTGATTGATGAAACCCAAACATGTCGCATATTTTTGCAGCTCTGCCACCTCCGACGCCGCTGCTGCTGCTGCTGCTGGTGTGGAAATATAAAGTTCAGAGTTGAAACTATGAGCTCAGACACCTGCAGCTTTACAACATACAGCCATCATGTGTTTTAGTGCAATGAAAGTTTTATTTACAGCCCCGTTAAAGTGCGTTCATACATCCCAGAGATCCCAGGCTGCAAATAGACTAAATGACCGAAAAGAGGAATAAAAACAGTCAGAATTCACGGTCAAAGAGAAGATTAGTGTTTGTTTTAATAAATTCAGAGGTTATAATAAACCTGCAGATTCCCACGTTGCTTCTTGACCTGCAGCTGCGGTTCAACCTTGCATGGAAGCTGCTGGTGCTTCATGTCGAAGGCTAAGACTCCAGCGTCTTTGAAGATGACCCACATTCTACACATGGCTGAGGACACAGCGGGAGGACGGACTACTTTCTGACCCCGCGCTACGCTGACCCGCGCATGACCTCTGCTGAAGTGAGGAAGGGGTCTGCTCAGTGAACACCATCAACCAAAACAGTCCCCGTTTACGAACAAAGAGAGAGTCCGACAAAGATGGGAGACCGTTTCCAGTCCGACATGTTTTCTAATTAAGAGCCCGGCGGCGTCATCGACGGCTGACGTCCTCGCCCTCGTTTTTCAAACATCCTCTGGCTCGTTTATTTCCGCCCACTTCAGTTTAAAAATCCTCCAATTATTCCCATGATTGGGCCTTCCTGTTTGGGGAGAGAAAACATCTCCTGGGCAGGTAAACAGTCGAGGCGGAAACAGCAATCACCTCGGCGTCAGACCTCAAATATTCCTGCAAACCATCGGCGGTTTAGGAAGTAATCAAATCCAACCGGAGTGGCAGGCGGTTTGATGGATGCCTGTTTTCCTCTCCAGCACACGAGGATGTTAACTTTACCACCTACAGCACACACACGCGCACACACACTTAGAAAAACACGGGCTTCTGCAGCGATACACGCTCGCCACTTACGCTGCTCTCCTCTTGACCCCTGTGAGTGTTACCACGCGAGTGTGTGTGAAATACCGGGCCGGGTTTTTGGTCGCAGCTTCCTGAAGAATACTGAGTAAATCTGCGCCGCCACGAGGAGATCCTGTTCTTACTATAATGACAAACCACAGCAGCATTAGCAGCAGTTAGCAAAGAGGAAAACAAAGATGGTGGACGGTGGTACCTTTGACTTTGACTTATTTCTGGATTTTTTAAAATTATTTTTGTCGTCTGTTTTGATGAATATTAAGCCGTAATCGTTGATCACCTGCATAAATCTTCATGCGGCGTCTTGTTTAGTAACACTTCCTGTCTGGATACTTGAAGGACACGACCAGTTGTGAGTTTGACATGAAGATATTTTACAGGAAGTAAAAAAAACGACTTTGACAAACTCAAGACTTTAAGAATCGTCCGTCCAAAAGTGAGACAGCTGATTTCATAACTGTAAGCGTGACGCTAATGTTAGAGAGACTTAACCGCTGAGTCATGTGGTGAGTCAACTCCTGACTCAGCGGTTGAGTCAGCGGCGGTTGTTTTATAGTTAATACTCGGATTAACAGTTTGCAGGAACTTCTGAGTTTACTGCAGAGGAATATACGAGTGAAGAGAGGCGCGTTTACACACAACGTACAGTACGCACAACCTCTAAGTGCTTTTGCATGTTTAAAACAAATAACTGACATCACTCTAAAATGAACTTTTGATAATCGAGCTAACCTCCCTGGATCATCCAGGTGTGATCAATTATCTCATGCATGCAGACGACTCAACGGAGCTGAAATCAGACTGAGTATTCTGCACATGCTGCAGCGCTCGTACTCCGTGGAAGTTAAAAAGCGTGGATGAAGAAAACTAAACTGTTCACAGATGAAGAAAAGACTTAAAAAAAAAGATGAAACTTTCTAAACAAACGTCACAGAGCTGTAAAAGTGACGATGTTTTCATCTTAGGACGTAGTTTTGATTGGCTACATGAGACGTCCCAATAACAGCAATTTTTTATTTTCTGTACTTTTTTGGGGACTTGCCTTTTATTGATAGTACAGGGTGAAATGTGGGGACATGGGGTGGTGGTGGTGGGAGGGGGTGCAACATATGGTCCGGGCCGGACTTGAACCCGTGTCCACTATGATGACCGTGGTCCCCATACATGGGGTGCGCAAACCTCCAGTGCAAAATTTTTTATGGTTTTTTAGGTCGGGTCGAGTGTGTTTATGCACCTCTAACTCAGTTACCTGGGATTTCCAACGCATCCGGAACATATGCCGATTCCTACCGGATCTGTTTGTGAGGCAAATTTCATGTTGGATAACGGACAGCAGGAATCTCAAGAACTCACAAGAACACAATTCACGTGCAATCGTGCAATAACAAGTTGTCTTTAGCCACATAGACTAACCATGTGAGCAGTAGATTGTGTCCTTCCAGAGGAGGAAATCTACTTCTAGACTTCTAGAATCAGCATCTCCTCATCCATGGTGTCATCGGGGTGAAATGACGTCTAAAAACCTTTCACTTGTTTGTCTCCACTTTGAAAAGAAGTCAGATGTTTTATTTTGTGTCTGTGCCCAACTTCCTTTCCAGCACGGGTTAATCTGTGCTGAATTTATCCACCATGCTCCGGCGTCCGGAAAAAATAGAACTCTTGAGATCAGCTGAGGAGTCCGGCGATCCGCAGAGGAACGGAAAGAAGCCGGAGGAAATTGACACGTTAACTTGATTGGTTACGATCAGCTGCGATCAATGCGGATACAGACTTTCGTAGCTGTTCTGGATGCAGTGGAAATTGGGGGTTAGCCCACACTACACAAACTCCAGACATCTGAAGGATTTTATAAACTCCTGGACAGGCCCCAAAAAAGAGGACGTATGGTCACCCTAGTCTTGGCGAACACAGTGGACTTCACCGTGCATGTAAAGAAACAGACAAATGTCATAATGATGTATCAGAAAACATCGATCATCTCTCCAGATCAGACTGTTTTTTGAGTTTGAAGCTCGTTCGATTTCATGTTGACTCAGTAGACATGTGCGGCCCACATCTCGGGACCCCCCGCTGTGCTGGAAACAAGTCCCCATTATGTTACTTAAACCAGTTCAGTATAGAGTTCATGCTAAAGGGAGATTTTAACACCTTCACACAGAAATGAAGCTCAGCGCAAAAAACAAACCCACACAATGTGAGGAGGAAGTGTAAGTTCAGCTCTTAGAAAAACTTTCAGGAAACTGTGTGTGTGTGTGTGTGTGTGTGTGTGTGTGTGTGTGGTTTTGCTTGCCTGCACCTCTAAACAGGCCTGCAGGGGCCAGGTAGGGATGTGAGAAATAGTTCTCGACACAAAAGGCTGCGCTTTTTGTCACCCGGAGGAAGGCTGCATGCCAAAACTCGTACGTGATGTAGACAGACGACGGGGCCTGACAACATCGGGGGAACGTATGGCCCCCAGTGTGTTTGTGTGCACGTGCCTGCATGTGTGTTTTGATGCGTGTGATTTGTGCACAGTGGGGCCTCAAGAGACAGATTTCCCAGCTTGATTAGTTTTCTTTCTCAGGCCCTCGCTTCTCCTCCTCCTGCACCTTAAAGTAGAATTCGAGGTGCAGTCCATCCGTCGCTGTCTTCTTTCCACTTTATGTTCGCCCATAAAAACCAGCGTGTAATCAGTGCCACATATTTCTGAGCTTATTTATCACCCAGAACTTTCTACAAACCGCTGAAAACAGGCGGATTACTGCGCCGCGGAGGAGAGACGATGAAGATAAGTTAACGTGAAGGATCTTTATGATTGATGAGCAGGAATATTTGCAGGATTACGTACCCGAACACACACGCCCTTGAGCTCCGAATTTGTTTAGTCTTCGTGTTTTCTGTTACGGATGATCTGCCGTTCTTTAGATTGGTCAGTTTTCAAGTTGTTCTTTGTTCTGTATATAAACAAATAAGAGCGAAAATCTTCAGAGGGAAGAAAATTTGGATTTTTGTTGATTTTGAGAGGAGGCCAGTTTCAATAATGTACAGACGAGGGGCACCCAAACAGACTCTCCTCCTCTCTCTCTGTCTCTCTCTCTCTCTCTCCCACCTTGCTGCTTTTCCACAAAGTCAATATTGACCCTGAGACAGAAAGCAGGCTCTCAGATCTAATGTAATTCACAGTGTACAGTAAAACCCGGGGCCCCCCCGCGGACGCACATGAGGATGTACGGAGGATTATTTTGATTATATGTTACGACAAAAGCTGCGAAACGGAAAAGAGAGACGAGGGGGGGAGGAGAGGATGATAACACAACACAGAGAGGCCTGGAGGAGGTGTTAAAGGCCAGGAGGTGAGAGTGTTTAGTGAAGGGGAGGACGGACAAAAGAGGAGGAGAAAAAAGGAGAGGAGAGCGGAGCTGGAGGGCAGCGAAGGGGAAGAAAGAGGAGAGACAGGAGGGGTGAGAGGAGTTTCAGGGTGGGCAGTGGAGGCTACTGAAGCTCTGCAGGAGTTTGGGAACCGGTGAACCTTGCTCTCTACCCCCCCACTCCTCCTCTTCTCATCCCCCTCTCCATCAATGTGAGGAAAGCCTCCTGGCGTGTCGGCGATGCGTTTCCCATGAGCTTTAACATGCGGCCCATTAACCCTTCTCTGAAAAAGTCCAGCGAGCGTGTTTTTCTGTCGAGTCGCAGAAAACGTTTCAACTTTTCAACTACGAGCGTCAGTCTGAGTGGTTGTTGTCTCTGTCCGTCTCCTCTCTAAATCTGATGCAGTCTGGTCCTGCTCAAGGTTTCTACCTCTTCCATCAAATTGATCGATATCCTTGTAGACAGCAATGGAAAATATTTGGTCTTAAACTTAAAGCTGCTGATATTAAATCAACCGCTGGATGGAAACTTGGTTGATTTATCAGCCAGAGCAAACAGAACCTGACCTCCTGGATTTATCAGGATCATAGAAAAGTGTCTCCACCGGATGCGAACTCGCCTCCAGTGATTTGACGCCGTTAAACCATCAATTGACAAACTTTTCACATGTTGTACTCGACTGAAAACTTCTGTATGTGGATGGGATTCTCTGGATGTCTGTACTGTAAATTAAGTGCTTGGTAGTTCATGTTTGTGATGGGAATTACGGCTCTTTTTAGTGAGCCGGATTATTCAGCTTAGCTCACCAAGAAGAGCCGACTCTTTCAGTTCTCAAACGGCTCTTGGTTTCACCACTTACATTTTCTAATCCAGCCAAATTCATGTGTACACATACCTCTTGAATAATTCAATACACTGAAGTTGTGAAGTATTACGCTTTTACGTTTTCTAATATCAGTAAAATAAATAATTTAAAAAAGCAGATAGAAATCTCATCAATTTGCCTTGTAGTTTTTTTTTTATGTTTTTTTTTGCAGTCTGTGGAGGAAAAAAGAGAGAGAGAGAGAAAAAAAGAAAGAAAAAAAACCCGGCTCATAGATGGGAGCTGACTCCCATTGTTCCCATTAAAAAGACGGCTCTTTGAACCGGTTTGTACAAGACCGACACATCCAAAACAGTTTTTGACTTTCAGTGTTTTCTAAGTTGACCATACATCCTCTTTCCCCGGACATGTCCTCTTTTTTGGGGGCTGTCCGGCTTTGTCCTAGGGAGTTCATAAAATCCTTCAAATGTCCGCGGTTTTGTATGAGAGTTTCGATATTGTGTCACGTGGACTTACTGAGTTAGAAGCGCGTAAAAGACACTTGACACTTAAGACAATTAACTTTGTGCACTTCTTGTCTCTTTCAAAGTTATTGCCTAGCCGTTTATTACCTTTACCTGTGTTTTCAGATCTTGCCTTTTTGCCTCACGTTTTTGATACCTCTGCCTGACCTGTACCGACCTTTGCCTGATCGTTGTTGAACCCTGTCTGTTTGACAAAGCTGAATTGTTGTCGTGCCGTTGTGTCCTCCAGTCTGACTCTCTCCAAGACTTTCGTGGTGCAACATCTTTTAAAGCATCCAAATCTGTTAGTGTCATCCAAATATGATGTTAGATGAAGTTTGAATATCCATGTTTGTTGTTGTGATGTTGAAGTGGAACTTTCTCCAAGGATACAAACTGAATTAATAATTCCATAACAGACAGGAGCGCTCCCTAAAATCCGGGCATCCTTATGTGCCTAATGCTTATGTCTAATTGTGCGGTAATAGGCATTAGATTTACTGGCAAAGCCCCAGTGTCAGACACACCCAAACACAGGGACAGACAGACAGCTCTCAGCTAATCCTGCAGAAAATCAAAGACTGAGAGATGGAGGGAGTGACCGGTGAGGAGAGACAGACGGATGAGGCGGAGAGGTCAGGAAACAGGCCGAGGAGTTCAAAGAGGAGCTGGAGGAAAAATAAAAGTGGGGAAGGAGGGTCTAGCAGAGAGTTAAAGAGTTCAAGTGTAAAGTGAAGGGGAATAAACCCTTTGTAATCTGCAGCACGCCCAGTGGCTGACCACCGGTTCGCCATCGCCTCCTGGATAAACCGTCCAAATCTCTGTAAGTCCGCTCAGATGTCTGCAGAGCTTTTGTCTAAAACCTGAAAAAAGAAAACTTGTAAATTCACTTTTCTATTATGACCTGGATATATTTTATTTTATTCCTCGTTCTTCCTCCTCTCTCTAAAGTACAGTGAGCTCTGTACAGTGAGGAGGTAGAGTGTGTTTTGTCTAACTCGGCCCACAAAGCCTGGAGCTGGTCTGCCTTATCAGCCTCCTCTTGTCCCGTTGCTCCTGGCGACACATCCACCTGGAGCGACGCCAGCACCCCATTAAGGAGATCAAAGCTGGGTTAAGTGGATGAAGCTCGCTCTCTCTCTCTCTCTCTCTCTCTGTCTCTCTTCAGTGTTTACACCTGATAAGTGAACAAACTGTCTCTGGGTGAACGTGGACGTCGTCTCACCAGGATGTCGTCTTCAGGTTTGATGATTGACGATAAGTGATCAATATCAGGCAGGACTTTCTCTGTGAGTTGCTGCTTCGTTTACAGTCCGATTGTTAACCTGAGAATCAAGAGTGAAGCAAAGTCGGCTCTAAGGCTGGACGATATGGCCTCAAATCAATATCACGATATATTGATCAGTTCACCTCGATAACGATAGATGGACGATGACTACTCCACCAGCTGCTCACCCCCTCCCACATTAACTTAACAAAAAACTTAACATTGACGTAGTACCTATGCCGAGCCAGTAAGTGGCGCTGTAACGCAGCCACAAAAATGCACCAAAAGATAGAAGAAGACTACGGAGCATGTGTATGAAGGTTGTTTGGTCGGACTAGTGCAGACGCCTTAGGAGAGTTACAATAAGGTGACCAGACACTCCCCATTTCAGATGACCTCGGAAATGTCCCGGATTTTAGCGTTCCTAAGCGTTTTAAGAGTGAGAAAAATACGACAGTTTTCAAGGGGGGTTATTTCAATAATTAGCGTAAACAGTCACCCGATACGCCTTTTCCAGGGGGATGAAACGCCAATATTGGTGCGTTCGGGTTACCTCGGAAAAAGCTGAAAATGATGTCGCACCTGAGTCACCAGCGTTTCAGTTACCAAGTCGTAAAAAAACAAATCAGAGGCAGAAACAAGATGGCTAAATCTGCAAAAGCTATTTTAGCGCTAGCCTTATATTCGGACGAGGCAAGCGCGAGACATTTGACTTCTGAGTTAACTCGAATTTAGCATTTAAGCAAAAAAAAAAAAAAAAAAACTTGTGCACTCTGCAGGAACTCTAGACTGGCTTACTTTGACGGTTTGATGCTGGAAACCTCAAAAAAAGGAGATAAAAAGGAGAAAACTGCTTTTATAAGAATTAAAATATTGATATTGTGTTAAAAATAGAAAAAGAGGCAGCAGACGACCAGCGGTTTAGCTGTAACAGTCTTCTGAGAGACGATTTAACAGCTTTACAAACTGAAACTTCAGGATTTACTGCGACTCTAAAAACAAAGTTTAAAATAATCCCTCTTTAGGTTTCTAATTAATCGAAATGAACTTTTGTTTGACTGTTTCCTGTCAGTTTCCTAGTCTGCATTTTATCTTTAGTTTTCACTCGGTATCTATCAAAGTTTTCATGGATACAAAACCCGGCTCAGACATATTTTCCTCCCCGGCCCTGTGGTGCCGATGCTAATTCCTCCTACATGTCAGCGCCGAGCTCAGTGGGCACCGCTCTAAAGACGGAGTATCTATTTCCCCACAACTCCCACAGATTCTTGTTGTTTGGTAACACGAACCAAAACAATCCAAGTGGGCTGTTTGTCCCAGCTTCAGAATGACAGAATAAATCCACAGAAACATTTTCAGCTTGGACGGCGGCCTGCTACCGACGGAGAGATCTCGTGTTACTCTCAGTGTGTTTTTAGGAACAGTAGCAGAGCGGTGAGGTTGTCTCGGACGCCCCCTCGTCTTATGTTCACGTCTCAGAGTGAGTGGAAAGTGGAAGTTCAGTCTGAGAAGAAACCGGCTCTGCAGTGTGAAACTCTTCCAAAAATAACTCCATTAGCGTTCTTGTAGTATACGGTAAAAATGAACAGAGGAGACGTGAAACTCGAGCTCCTGCTTTTATAGTAACAGGCCAAAAAAAAGGGAAGTCAGGTTTGTGTGACTTTCATTATCGTTTCCTTTAAGAGATAAATCTGGTCGTTTAATCCCAGGAGACAGCTGGCTCGCTCTCAAGATGTTATCTGGCGGTAAATGTTGTAGGTATGTGTGTTACATTCAGTCACTGTCACCTCTGCTAAGCCGTACGACAATATTAACAACACACACACCTGTCAGAGGGCGTAAATCTTCTCTCTGGGGTTTGACAGCCTCTTATTTCAGACACACGTGAAGTTTTTGGAGGAGCTGGAGACACATCTGCCTGTTTTCAGTCCAGCCTCCTCAGCGTTCCTCGATCTCCGTGTTTTCTTTCTTTTACACAATATTTTCAGAGCGGCTGATTTATTTCTTTTGCTTCACCCATGAAGGATCGGCGTGAAGCTGGCTGTGCTTTATTGGAAGAAACAATACTGGAGGGGATGAGTGGACCTGGAGGATAAAGAGAGGAAAGCAGGAGATTAAATTAAAGTCGAATATATTATGATAGATCGAGAGCATGAAGGGTCATCGAAGGATCGTATTGATATGCAGATTTGGTACTTTAGCGTGTTAGCCTGACTGGAATCAAATAAAGCGGTTGGGGATCGATTGTTTCGGTCATGTTTACTGCGGTCTGCACATGCTCCAGTGATTGCACGCCGAGCTGTAACCCTGTAGTTGAAAATCAAGATGCACTTGAAGATGGGTGGTCAGTGAAACCTCGATAGACGAAGAAAAGACGTAAAAAGACGTAAAATAAGAAACACATCAACAGGGAGACGGCCTGATAAAGCGGTGTGTCACCAACTACCGTAGCAGAGTCAGACACGTTTCTGTCAATAATTCGATCTTGCACAGTGGATATAAACTGAGACAAGGACAGTGATCTGGTTTTATCACTTAATCCAGTCTCAACTTAAAGCTCCAGTAAGAAACTTTTGTGAAATCTGTTTTCTCAAATGTAAAGCGCATTATAAATAAAATGTATTATTATGGTTGTTAATATTATTATTATTATTATTATTATTATTATTTATGAGAAAAAACCTCATCCTGCTGACCTGCGTGGGCCGACAGCTACAACAGCTGATTCTTCAGCCGCGAGGCTTTGACCTTTGACCTACCCCCTCACACCGGTTTCAGAAATTAAAATAAGTTTTAAAAAAAAGAACTCAAGTCTTGTTCGCTCCTGGTCTTGTTTGATTTTGTTAATTAATAAAAGTCAACAGGATGAATTTCAGTCTGTTTTAAAAATGTCAAAAAACTCCTGATAGGAGCTTTAATTGTGTATGTAAACATACTGAGTGTTTTATCGTTCTTGCAGAAAAACAAACTTTTTATGAGATCTCTTAAAGTGGCAAGGAATCTTCTTGCCATTATCTGTCATTTTAAGTACAATTGTTTTAATAAAGATGGTTATCATCAGTACTGTGTCATGAAATGTTCTGTTAGTTTAGTTTTCTCCTGGTTTAATTTGAGGACATTTTCTGTTTTATTCTTTAGATCAGTTTTCAGTGTTTATTTCCTGTTTTATTTTGTAGGAGTTGATTCCTTGTGTTTCTAGTCTGGATTTACTTCCCTAGTTTTCCCTCCTTCGTTAATCACTAAC